TTTAGCCTACTCACATTTGCCTTCTTTTTTTTTTTTTTTCCTCTTCTTTTTTAAAGAAATGTCATGTTGACTGGGCTGACACAGATCGTATGGGGGGCCTCACTCACTCAGATATGCCAAACAAAGGGTTAAAGACACGGTTACTGTTCTTTTAGAAAAATGTAGTGTTGCTCGATGAACTTAAACTTCGTAAGAGTTAGGTTCACTCCATCTAGATCTGTTAGTTTAGCTAACGAAAAGGGTGATGTCGCAACCTACTTTTTGCCAAGTAGCTTCCACGTTAGCTTTTCCGTTTGTCGAACTAAAAAACATAAACGCAATAATCAAATTATAATGAACTTTGAAGTGAGTGACCCAATTATAAAAAAAGTTCAAGTTTAGTGGCCTTGGAACAAAATGAATGTGAGTGACCAAGATGAGATTCACTAGAAATTTTAGTGACAACTAGTGTTTTTCCCACCAAACAAATCTATATCTATGCAGGAGTGATAAGGATGAAAATCGACGAGGGCTATGAGTACCTTGGGGTGCAGTAGACCCATTCTTGATGGAACACTAATTACTTCAACATGAATCCTTTCATTTGTGGGTGGCTCCTCCAGCATAAACTGAAACTCCTCATCCCATCTTGGATCTCTGTTTTTCTTCACTGACAACAAATTACCAAACCCATAAATTAATTTATATTTTAAGAATTTCAATGTTTCAAAACCTAGTAACAGGAAACAAAACCTCAAACCATTAACTCATATCAACATAAGTAGAACATCACACAGGCTCCATTTTCTATAAAGCTACTGATTCTTAGCATACTTTTATGGTATGTTTGGTAAAGTTAAATCTTGCTTATTATATTGTCTAGTTGTCTTTCCTACCATGTAGTAACCATGTCATTGTGGAATTAGGAAACTAACTGATGTTTTGGGCTCAAAATGTGTGTCTGGACAGTATTAAGCGAGAAAATGAAGTCTTTTGCTAATTGTATTCTCTAGTCCTACGCAATGATATGCCCTGGCATAAACAAGCCATTTTACTGTTTATAAAGGGCAAATGCTCATTTCGTTGCTAACGGCAGTTAATGCCAAGGTTGCAACAAAGTTTATCCGATTCACAGTTTATTTCCCAAAAGCTCCACAAAGACATAAATGTAATACTTCATCAAAAGTAACCTTTGTTTTTCTCTCCTCCCCTCTGAAAAGTAGACGGACAGATGGATTTGTGTGGTGCTTCCCTTCTAGATCTTGAGCTTCATGGACTATAACAACAAGCAAACCACCACCTTCAGGCACTCCTTCTGGAGCCTTCTGCACTGAGTTCGAATCTTCAATATCATCCGGTGTCTCATTATCTTTGAAAGGTTTGTAATTGACTTCAACTACTAGTTGCCCTCGTGATTTTTCATTTTGAACATCCTCTGGGTTTAGGTTTTTAAGAAGATCAAGAGTCAAAACTTTTGGCTCTTCCGGAGCAAACTCTTTCAATGGGACAACGTTCAAGCCCATCTTGTCATGTGATCCAACCTAAACAAAAAGGAAAAAATGAGGAAATCGGGGAAAAATAATGGAAGTTGTGTGTTAAAGCATGTTTAGCTTCATTTAAAATGTTTGCTTATAATTCAATAAGTATGATCAAAATTCAATATGACTAACTTATTTGAAGTTACTCATCCAAAACATGTTTTGATAGTCAAAGAAAGCAGTATAGACAAGGAAGCAAGATAACCTCTACCATATTCAATTTCATAAGTATATCTTGATTTGTTCCATAATGATAACTAAGAATGAAGGATACCTGTTCCCAGTCATACACGGAAAGCTCTAAAACTTGTGATTCTGGGTCCATAACAACAAAAGTAAATTCCTCATTCCATTCGGGGTTCAAGTTTTTGTGTTTCACAGTAGTTTTCTTCGATGAAAGTTTGTCTTCAGAAAGTTTTAGCTTCACGTAAGGGTCTGAAGCCCCCAAAAGATCCTTTTTCTTAAGTTTCATTGCCCTAAGAACCTTCACATGAAGAATCCCGACTGCTCTCTTCATTGCTCTGTCAAATGACCATGTCATTTTTAGTTAAATTTAGAAAAAAGTTGCCAGTAAAATGCTGGGAAAACACTCGAACTTACTTTGAGGGATCCATTATCTGAACCTCAAGTCTTTTAGGCCATAGATACATATTTGCAACCTGATCTTTTATAAATTCCTGGAGAAGCACGAACACTCACAAGGTTTAAAAATCATATATTGCCATAAGCTTTCATTCTCAAAATTAATCCTTAAGCCTCTTGGTCTTTGTCCAACTCTTGGTCAAAAATTGTTTTCTCAAAATTAATTCATTAAACATCCTTTTGGATGCAACCTCTAAACCAGAAGAACAAATGAAATTCTGAGGAATTTAAAATTCATAGGAGGACAAACATAGAGTATCACCTGAACAAATCTGTACAGCCCAGGAATTGACATAGCATCCGCACCTAGCAGCTTCAGTCCAAAGTCAACATGAGGCTGCAAAGCAAGATTTAGACACAAAATGATTGTCAGACTTACAAATGTATGATGCATTGCATTTAAATATGCTTTAAGTCCTGCAAATAGTAGAACAAAAGAATATTAACTTTTTGATAATTTGCGTGTAAAAATGAACAACAGCAAAAACTGGTAGAGTAGAAGAGAAGAACGAATTCAAATTTTCTCCAAACCCTGCTAAAATACATTCCTATTTTTCCTTTATATTATCAACTAGATATGAGTCTGTCAACATGCACCTTTTCCATAAGAGAAACAAATATATTTGCGAAACAAGGAATGCTGGGAACCAGTGGCTTTAATGTGATACGCGGAGAAGCAAAAACTTGCAAGTCGAGCACCTGAAATACTCCAAAAAAATTACTAAATGAATTGTTCAGCTGCAACAATGCTTTATTGTGGCACAAGAGAGTGAGAGAAAGAGAGGTTTCCAAATATGAAGTAACAACTATATGTTGATCCAACTATCCAAGTAGTAATTTGTTCTTCCATCATAATTGATAGAACCAATACCTGGACACTGGCTTTTAGACCAAATGCCTTCACAACCACAATGATGTTAGGATTACCGGTCCATTTCAAAACTGGTTCCATTATCAACTCCTTCTCTTCTGTGGAATAAACTTTCATTCCTGGAATGATATATCAGTTTAATAAAATGATACCATGTTGAATTATAGGGAAAGCAAATGCTGAAGACAAAAGGGCAGAAAGAAACTAAATGAAGCAAGAAGCATTAATTCTTTAGGCACCAATCAATTTGATAGAGAAAATAACATTTTCTCTTTTCTCTCATTTATTAGTCAGGGGCCAAGAAGATTGATTGAAGTCGCTGCTGTGCAGGAAGTTAATAACATGGCAGCTTTATGATGGGAAATCATAGATTGAGGAAGTAAAGGCCAAAGGCAACTAAAACAGGGGAAAAAAAAAGGAAAGGGAAAAATAGCAAACACGAAAAGTAAGAAAGTTTTTCATGCTTACCAATAATGAAGAGAACTTGTAATGTAGGACAACACAAATATCAACATACACAAAAAGTTGACAATAGACACTGCCTTAACAACCACAATTACTATGGTACTTTTGACATGTTTTGTAAGGTGGACTAAATGATGTCACATAACAAACACATCCTCTATGTGCCAGCAAGTTCTATGAATAAAAGTTCTTGTTACACTTCCACGGAAAAGAAAGTAAATTATTTCCTTCAAATAAATGTATGCAAAAATATTAGAACTTCTAAATTTAAATGGTTCTCCAGAAACTAGGTCGAGAATAAGCTGCTAAACCTTGAAAAGTAGGCGGTAGACAGCCCAAAGTTAGTGTTTCAAATTCCACCGAGTCAATTTTGTATTTTGGAATTTGCTCGGCTATGATTGGCTCTGCTATTTTCTTTGCCACCTTGCAAATTGCCTGAGGACCTTTAGTTGTTAGTATTGAATTCAAAAAAGAAAGACTTAAATCAAAAGCATGCAAGCAAACAAACCTTATCCAAATATGGCCACATAAGTTCAATGAATTTGTTTAGCCAATCAATCTGCAATAGAAAAAAATTAGACCAAGAATAATTATCCCGTAAAAATTATGCAATAGAGTAGAGTAAAAACATAATTTACCCGATCATAATCTGGATTTTTTATCCAAAGTGGTATCTCTGTGAGCAGCCGTTGGAGACTCTTAGAATCTTGCTCAACTAAAGAATGGACATCAGGATCCTAAATAGAGCACATTTCAGTGAATGAAAATAAACTCATCCACATATTTTCTTCGATAATAGAGGGGCAGATAGATAGACGTTTCTGCCTTTCTTTCCCATTTATATGTATATTTTGGAATGGTGGAATTTTCATCGATATCATTAAACTCATCACAAGTTTTATCAGCTCAAAGTAGTGACTGTACTTTAATGAGGAAGATTTGGAGGAAAGTTTCAAGTCTAACAGTTCATATGAATTGGATAGATAATAATATCTACAACTATGAAACTAAAGACGGATAAAATTAGGCGCAAGAATTTTTACAACGGCTTACTTTACTAAATATTATATTCCATCAGCATATATTCTGAAAACATTCAGAAATTTGAGTGCTCAACAAAACTGTAGAGGAATCTTCATCATAATCCGTTACTCTGATTCTCCTGAGTAAATTAAAGATCGACTGAGAAAATGAGTTTATATTGAATCATTTTGTAAATTAATATTGTCTGCTAAAACATTGATTTGTTTACTTCAATCACCGTGTACCAAAAAGTGTAAACCAAGAGTACTGGCAAAAGCAATAAACACTGTATTGATGTCAAAAACTGATGCGATACTCTTTGATCAACTTTTATGGAATTGAACTAAATGAAAGTGTCATAATGCTGGAATTTTACAGTTGTACAGAGAAAATCTCAATTCGGACCCTACTTTTTATTTACCCCTCGTCCCTTTGTATAGGCGAGTGGGTTGAAACGGGCCATCTAGTCATGTCAAGTTACATTGTTTCAACTTGGGGTTGTGTGCCACTGTTTGTTTGATGGAATTTGATTGGTTACCGAGGTCGGCTGTGACGGAGTAATGATGACACTTAGGTCTCAGGCATGTGTCCTAAGCAATCTTTTCATGCTCTTGATTGGTTGATTTGGATGGTCCTGCTTTCATGGGAGAGCACTTCGTCTTTCATATGTCACGATGATGTTTCTATATGACGTCTCTTGTAGTCCGACGTTGACCTCCATCATTTGGGTATTGGACAAAGGCTGAGTTGACCTGTCTGAACCCCTCGACGGGCAGGCTTCTTTGACTAAGTCACAAGGAGCTTCCAATTCAATCGACGTGGATTTCATACCAGCAACAACACTTTTTAGTGTTAATAGTTTTAAAAGTTCAAGCACGTGTAAAGCAATGAATAATTCTTCTCCTCCATTGCTCCTCCAATTGAACTGAAGTTTGGAGTTTCTTTTTCTTTTTCTTTTTAAGAGTCCCTTTTCCCTTTTGGGAGATATAGGTCTCAATTTCGAGGAAAGTGTACTTGGGGTTGACTATAATTTCTCAAAAGAAGTGTAGAAATTTCATACTCCCTCCAGACTTATAATATATAGAAATGAATGATGCAGCCTAAAATTGTTAACCATCAGCAATTCCCATATTATCAAACTCATCTGTACTACCAAATAACAAATAAACAGCAAGCAGCAAATAAAAAGAAAGAACTTCCGACAAAGATAATCTTGGAAAGATCAAATGTAACATAATATATAGAATCATGTAAACAAGGATGCGGGAAAAAGAATGACCTTGACATCAGTTGGTTGGGAGTAGATAAACATGAAATAGCCAATCACAAGCCCAATTGAGGCCCCAAATCCGAACCCGAAAACACCCAAAATTGTACTCACTATACCCATCTCTAATACTCTGGTTCACCAGGAAAAACTGAAGAAAAATGAAGCTTGGTGCCCTTAAATTTCCATTTCAAGAAAAGACGGATAAAACCTTGATTAACAAGGACAGTATATTCAAGAATCACATGACCCCAAACTCTGCTATAAGGCAACCTCTAGAAAAAAAGAAAGCATTGCAGAGATTTAAGTAGTAGAATTATGCTTCAGCAGATCAAGAAAATGAAGATTGGAGCCCCTAAAATTTCCTCTAGAACATCAGTTGCAGAATCTTGATTAAAAATGGACTGATATTCAAGAATCACATGACCTGAAAGCTTTTGCTATAAGGCAAGCTTTAGATAAAGAAAAAACATCTGCACCCCAAAAAAACTGGGAAGCAAATACTAGAAAATGTGAAAGTTTTTAGAGATTTATGAGGTATTTTATTACAACCATTATAAGGAGAACAATAAATGAAAAATTAATTCTTGGGCGATCTTAAAATATTCGACCAGTCTTTGGATCCATACATAACGGCTTTTCCAGCATGAAGTTTTTTAAGAAACCAAGTGTNNNNTGAAGTTTTTTAAGAAACCAAGTGTATGTGGAGTGTGTGTTGAAATTGAGTGTCAGTAACGTAGCAACGTCCCACTATATTGGCTTTATTGTGTTTCAAATGGAATCGGACCATGAATCAGTGACATTTTTTTTTCTTCACAACGGAATCAAATGGATTTTTTAAAGATATGGAACCAAACCAAAGTCGAACCATTTGGTTCTGGTTTGATTTGGTTATAGTTTTATTTCTTAAAATTTCAGACTTGTATTGTATCCATAAGTTAGTAGCATATTTAAAAAAAAACATTAAACATTCAATAAGTTCAAATTATCCATCATCGAGATCACAAAAGTTCAAACTAACAAACAAAATATATTCATAATTTAAATACACATCAATTTTCATTCCATACAAAAGATTGTCTAATAAATAATAATAATGATTCACCAAATTAATTGCAACATTTTTTACGGCACATCCCCACAATAAATGATGAATTATGCAAAACTTTTAAAGCTCACTTTTACAGACAACCATTAACCCTTTAATACTTCATAATGTTTATTCGATTTTTCTCTATTTGTAAAGAACACAAATAATTCATCAAACAATCAAGGTGAAAAATAATTTAAGGGCTTTTTAAGTTATTGACTAATTCTATTTTTAGATCTTGAAAGAGTCTCCTCCATTGACGTGATGAAATAAGATGTCGGTGTGCCACAACATTGTATAAATAGAAAATGAGTGAAAGTTAAATGATTCAAATTAATACAAAATTAGGGTGTACACAATTAACGAGCCGTCTCCAATGACCAAAATTAGACGTTGTCCCAAATTAATGGACTATCTCCAATAAATACATACTAATTAATATATATAAAAAATAAAATAAAAATTTAAGTTTGGTTTTGGTTCTGGTTCTCAATTTTAGAATTAGAACTGAACCAGAACCAAAACTAAATGGTTTTCTATTTGAAGAACCAAAATCATTAATTTTTTTTTGGTAAAATCGAATCGAACCGCTTGATTTGGTTCAGTTTGATTTGGTCTGAACATTTTGTCCACCCCTACTTACATGATAGAAGAGTGGGCCAAATGATTTTTTCGAAGAAGGGATCGAACCCAAATCCATCAATATTGTCGTTTGATTATGATAAGAATTACCATTTGCATTTCAACATTTCGTCGCTCTGTTTCTCAAACCCGTTCTTCGCCGTATGAACTGCCAGGTGTTAGACTTATTTTGGAAGGTTGACAGCATGTTTTACAAAGCATTAGAATTTACTTATAAGTAAACGAAATAAGAATTATGTTGACGTTAATATCTAGCTGAGACTTCGCGTCAACAAAACAAACCAAGGGACTAGTTGAACTTCTTGTGCAATAAGCTTTGGAATGTTTGGTTGTTGGTAGGAAGATGCGATGGTAAGAAACACTTTGGCACTTTGACGATAAAAGAGTTTTTAGCAGAATTTTAACTATGATAATATGTCAATAAGATTTGTTGTTAACAAGTGCAGGTAGGCTATATTTATAAAACATAGAGGAGAGAAAATAATGGACTCCTTCTTGCCATAGACATGACGTTGTCTCCATCATGTTTGTGATACAGTGCCTCTCATAGTTCTCGTCACTAATGAAATCTAGTGGTGGCAAATGAGCCGAGAGG